TGTGAGAGAAGAATGTGGGCGTACTACACCTAGTGACTAAACTGCGAGCGTGCAGAAGACATAAAAGAAATGCTAACCTTAGTATGCATTGGTCAAAGTATTTCTGGTAGAGAAAAGAAAGCCCTAGTATTTTTCAGGGTCTTGAGGAGGTTCTACCTGGAATACTGGTTGCATAGATTCAGAGAATAGATTCCAATGGAAACAGTGAAGAATCATTAAGATAATCCATGAAACAGAGGTTGCATCTAAGAGATGAGACTAAGTTCAGAGGTTTTGGCCAATGAAATAAAGAGTGAGGGGCTTTTTATTCTACACAATCATAACACTGGGGAAAAAAGTCTAAGGTGGAGAACAGATGTATAGAATAGCTATTTTAATAGCAATGCTAAAAAAAGGCAACTGGTTAACTGAATAGTAGACCAGTCTGGAATAGGTCTTCAACATAAAGGTCATGAGACAGTATTCTATTCAGTTTTAACACAGAACTTCAGGAGTTGACATAAGAGTTGGCACTAGACTCCAGGAGTCCCTTTCTAATCTGACACTCCTATATTTCTTCATGTGCCTATGAAAACAGAAAGAAAAAGGAGTTGCTTCTTGTATTAAAATTAACCTAAATGGCCTAAATTGCCTAAGGGGTACTAATGAATAACCAATATATGGAATAGGAAAAAAAACCTGACAGATATTGATGAGCTCCTTAATTTAACAAACAGGATTTTTAATCATATTTAACTAGTTAGTGCTAGAACAGACTAACATTCTCTACCCTATAAACATTTCAAAAGATTTATCACATTTTTTTGCTTAAGCTCTTCCATACTTGTCACCAAGGAAAGAATGATCAGAGGCTTAAGTAATTTCAATTTCCTTCTCACAGACCACTTGAGGTTTATGGTTGCTGCTCCAAAAAAAAGATTTATGAAGTATAATTCTTGCAGCAACATCTGTCAGCAGCAAAAGGTTACTTCTAAGAATTCTTTTTTAGAATTTAAACCCACAGCTCTGGCTCAAACCATCACCTTCAGAATTCTAAATGCATTCCCTGGGCATCCTCTGTAGGCAGTATCGCTCCTCCCACTATAGATCATGCCTGTCTGAAGGGAAATAAGGATTGCAGAAATAAGGTTTTCAGCGGCAAATAAACCCAATATTATTTTGAACATTAATTTTAATCTCATTATTCCACTTTTCCAGAATGAAAGACAATTCACTCCCTTTCCAACAATCTGTTGTCAATTGTAAGAAAAATTATTGAGCTGGAGAATAATCATGGGCAGGATATTTTAGGGAACTCTTGACCATTGTCATTTCTACCCCAGGGCCACTTTTTGCATCCTTCTCTGTTCTAGCTAGAAGTTCTAGTAGCTGACCTCAGGTCTCCAAGAACTCAATCCAGAAGAAAAAGACAGATGCTAGACATGAATCCCCAGATTCCCTGACACTCATGGACTGGTTTTTTGTTGTTCTTTGGTAGGGGAGGGTTTGTTAGGTTTTTTTGTTTGGTTGTTTTGTTTGGGTTTTTTGTGGGGAGTTTTTTGTGGGGTTTTTTTTTTTGGGGGGGGTGGGGGGGGTTGTTTTTTTTAAACACAGTATGAACCTATGTTCTCCTTTGTTGTTTCATTCAAGTCCAGGCTCATATAGCTTAGCGGTATCTGATGGAGACCAATTAAGGGATACTGTATACAGACTATGGACTCAAAAAAGTTACTTCCACTGTCCCACCCCAAACACTTCATTTCTGTCAATAACACAATCAAATATGATGAAAGAATTTTGATTCCTTTCACCCAAACTATTAGATAACTACAACCTACCTTATGTTCTATTAGATATGTTATCCTTTACCCACACATTAAGTATATCACTATTTTATTTCTCCCCTATGTCAGGGAGCATAAAGCTAATTTTATTGCCCAATATAAATAGTATTTATAAATAATATAATTTTTTATGCCTTAGGCATAAAGCTAATTTTATTTTTAAAAAGTCACTCGCAGAGAGGAGCATTACTGATAGACAAGAAGTCTGGCTTTCACTTCGTCCCACCTCTGGTGCAGCAGTGGATGACAGGAGAGAACTCATTTCACCCAAACACCAGAGCATAGCTACATTTGTGATAGACCTAACTGAACAAGAGACATCTGATTCAAAGATATTTTTGTAGGGCAGAGTTAGAAGGGGAAAAAAAGTTTAAAACATGCCAAAACAGGAGAAAAAAAAATGTTTAAAATTGTGAAATAGAGTCAAGTATTTTTTCCTCTCAAGCTAATCCTTGTTGGATGAACACTGTAGATGTCAAAGATAGTACCTTCAAAAACAAATGATGCCTATACCAGAACCAATTTACCACCCCTATTCTCCCTGAATTATTCAGATTTTAACAAAAGCAAACTCTTTGGAGAAGGTCACACATCTCTTACCAGAAATTTTTCCTCAAAGTAAAGGATACTTAACACTTGATTCTTAAACTGGAGTTCCCATATGGCTTCCCATCCAAAGGCACACCTGTTTCAGAGATACTTTCTGAACTATTGATAACTTTTTCAAAACAAGGCTTTCACCTCATGTATTTCTGGACTGGACTGCAATAACACACATCAGAAAGCAAGCTAAATCCTCTCACTGTCTGTCATAACTCTCCCATTAATTTCAGGGATGCATTTAAAACTTTAGTTTTTTCTTTTTTTCTTAATAATAGAGACATGAAGTACATTGGTATTTAGCAAAGGTAAAATGCATTGGTGCCAATAGCAATCTCACACGCTATGACATGCTGTACTTATTCTGCATTGCAGTTACTACCATCCCCTATTTGATAGTTCAATGGTAAGAAACAAAATTAATCCAAATTAAGTTATTATAAAGTTACAAACTATATGCATTCAGATTATTGTGTAATATAACCCTGCCTAGGAAGTTCTTCACCATGTCAGTTTAACCTTTAATAGAAACTATTAAGCGTTTCTAAAAATGTATAGTTAGTTACTTTATACCTAAGAATAAAAGACCCAATTCCATAGTTCTCTGAACTAAATTAACTTTTAAGTAGACCTTGAACACCTAAAGTTCCAAATAATTAGGGAAATTCAAATATTAAACAAATCAAGTAATTTAGCAATTTTCCCACTTGTAATGACTTGCCATTCTTCCTAAACCAAAACTATATACACACATACCTCAATATTCCCTAGCTTGTCCCCAAACCCTTCCCCTCAATTGTTACCTCGGAATAGATTCTATATAAACTCCTCTTTTAATCTTCCAGTTCAAGTGCTACCAGTCTAACTCTAGACAAAAATAATGCAAAGGTTCAGCAAATACAAATAAGTATGGAATGGAAGGGTTGATAACTTCATTTATGCCATAAACAGGATTTTCTGGTTGATATATTGGGTTTATCCCTTCTTTAATACCACCATGTTTGGTTAATAAAGTTATACTAAAATTTCTATGGCATTTTACTAACCATAGTGTTCCTTCTCTTTCCAAATGCTATGTGAAGCTACTATCACAGAAATTAAGTATGCTAAAAATACTAATCAAATTACAAATCACAACGATTAGAGATGAGAAATAGGAAATGATGTTTCTAGAATATCCTGAAGTGAATTATCCTGGTTCATGTCTTAAACACCCACAGATTGCGTGGAAAGTAAAAAAAAATTCTCAGAAGTTGTTATTTGTAATTTTTAGACAATAAAAATAAAGGGATGTGTGACTAAATGTTAGAGACAAATACACAGCTTATTGCTTAGCTGAAAGCCTTTTTTTTTTTAATCAGTACTTTTTAAATAGCTTGATGAAAAAGCTCACCTACAAATACACACAGTAAAATTACATCATCACAAACATAAGACATGGGACAAAATCAGAGTGAGGAAGAAACACCAGCTGACTACAAGTGTTCTGCAAGATGCTCGTGACAAATTAACTACTTGAAAGGACAAGTAGGACAATATCAATTGGAGAAGTAAACTGATATTATATCTCATAGGACAAGTACTGTGTCCACTGCTGTCTCCTGTATTTCAAGCCATTTACAATTGCTAAGAGTTTAGAAAAAAACCCACAAAAATCATTTGAGGTCCAAGAGGCAGATTAAGTTGTTTTTCTGTAAAAGATCAGCATATTTAGTTCAAGATAAAATCAGTAAAGTCCCTTAATTAAATCTCCAGATAGAGAAAGGATGATTTCTAGCAGTAGATAACCCTTTAATTCAAGCAGACGTATGAAGATGATCCAGTATCTGGGAGCTGAAGTAAAGTCAGACTAAGTATAAAGGTAAGTTCACAACAAGGGTAATGCAACAGCATATTTAGATATGTGAATATATACTATATCACCTGAAGTTTTCAGGTAAAGACAAAAACTCTAAAAATGAGTAGAATAGAATATCCACGCAGCATCAGCTTGATTGAGAAATTACTATTCTATTGACTTGCGTTACAGAGGCTAAGAGAAAAACAAAATAATTATTCTGATATACAATTCAGACAACTAATATATTGCTCTTGAGGTATCATCATTTATATAGGTAGAAGTATTTTTTGCATAAATACCTACTGTCTCACTTTAAATTACAATAAATATTTTAAAATAAATGAATCCCGTTAAGAAGATTTTTTTAAAAAATATAATTTTCTTTAATTTGTCATTAAGACAAGAATCACATTTTTAAACATCTATGAGGTTCTGTAAGCTAGATAGCGAAGACTACATTTAAGATACTTTATTTAAAAATGTAAAATGTTAGTAAGTGCCTAGCTACTACACAACAGGTAAAACAAGACAAAATATTTTAAAATATTCACTTTTTTCAAAACAAAAAATACACTGAATTGATTAAGATTTATACATGAGAAATTATCTTGATAAGTCAGCAAAAACACATTGAATGAGACTTTCAAAATGCATGTATTTAGGAAGAATATGAACAAGATTAGGAATTTAGGAGAAGGGGAAAGGAATTAATGTAAGGACTTATATGCCTTACAAATTTAGAGTCTTTTTAAATTTCTTTTGCTTTGGGCACTTCCTGGAGGAGCATCTTTTTTGTTCTTCCGTTTTGCAGATAAACTATTACATTCGTTTGACCCATGGAAAGCATGCAAACATAAGATACAGAACTCAAATGCACATGTCTCTCTGCTACATAGTCCCCATTTCTTTACCAATTGATATTTAGCAGGATATTGACATCTTGGACAGGGTTTTAGAGCTTCATCAGTCAACAGACTTTTAGCAACCTGTAGCAAGAGGAGGGAGAGAAGAGCTACTTAGTTCTTGTAAATGAGAATTTTCTAAAAACTGTTAAGTGAAGAGTTTCTTAGCTACCTACTTTTATGTATTCCTCCTGTCTACTCGTTGAATGGGGAACAGAACTGCATCTCCTGGGTGTAAGTTCAGTGTACGAAGGTGGTGTTTGTACCACAGGAGTTCTGGCTTGAGCTTGAACAGGCCTTAGAGCAGATCTATTGAGAACATTAAGTCTTGTGGCAGCATCTTCAGCTTTCAAGAAATATTCCTGTTAAAGTTTATAATTACAAAGAAAGGGGGAAAAAACAGCACAAAAGGAAGCAAATCAGGGGTTTATTTCATTTGGGATTTGCAGCTGGTTTTTTGCCTTTTTTGTTTTCCTTCTGCAACAACACATTAGAAAAGGAAATTATTTATAGTGCATGTATTTCCTGTTAAATGCTTGTATTTACTAAGAGAACAAGAGACAGGAACCATTAAAAACGACGTCTCATGAGCAGGATAAAAACCCAACTGTCTTCTAGCACTCTCTACTGGTCCTCATGTTTCTGAATTAGGAAACATCTCAATAGCAAGCATGGAAATAGCAAACATAAGATTGGTATCAATTAGGGCAAGGTTACACTAAAGTGTGTGTGTGTATATACACACATGGAGGATCTAAAAAACTTATACTGCTATTAATATGCTTACTTCTCTAGATACCCCTTAAAAAAACTTCTGTATTTCTTTCTGATGTTCACAAGTACAGGACTGCCACAAGCAGTCCTGAAAATAATCAGGAAGCAGTCTAGAGTGGGTCCTACTGCCCTGCAGAGTGGAGTGAAATTGGAAGTGAGGAACAGAATGGCACAAAGTCAAGAACAGGGTCCAAGATCCAAAACCAGAATCAATTGAGGAAGGGATCCTACAGGATTCTCAAGAAGGACAAAGGGGGAAAAAAGAAAGAAAGAAAGAAGAAGAAAGAGTATCACATGGTTGAAAGACTAGTACTCAAGCTGCAGACAGTTGAAAAGCAGTAAAAGGAATTACATTCTCCCGTTAGAATCTTTCACATACTCACATTAGAACTGCCTCTGTCAATTACCTTTCTGTAGCTTTACAAGATATTTCCTCTTTCCTCTGACCCGTCTTCTTTCACACTTGAAAAAAATATTACCTTTGAGACGAACCTTACCCCAGCTTCTTCTGTCAGGTGTTTTATGTACAACTTTCTCCTCTTATCTGCACTTCTATCTTGTACAATAATTTCACGCCAGTTTTTGCTTACTTTCCAAATGCTGGAATAAATGAATGAAAAAAATTATCCACTTCCACATTTTTGCCAAGTAGTACAGAAGTCATGATAGTAAGATTACCTTTTAAAGATTTTTTTTGCATGATTTCATATACCATTGGCCATTTTACAGACTACTGCTATACACTTCAAATGTTCACTGTATTGTCATGAAACACAGATCTCATGTACTCTTATGCACCACCGTACAGAATAATAGAAGAATCTAGAGAACAATTGCAAGAGAACCATTGCAATATAAACACAGCGTACCTTTGACTTACAAAATTAAATAAGTTTCTTCCTTCCACGTAAGCCACCTACCAAGTTTGTTTCTAAAGTCACATTTTTGTACGTTAAGTGTACTGAAAACATCCATGCCCTTATAATTCCACCTATTCTCCCATTCCCTTTGTAACTAATAACACACATAGCACTCGATTTCTTTGAAATAAGTGTCAGTTTCTATTTATTAAAAATTAATCTAGAACATTACTCATCAAGCAAAATTCTTTGAGCATTTTGTGCTTAGAAATAACTGAGGAAGGTAAATACACATAGCAAAAAAATTAGAAAATGTGTTTTGAGGACTATACATTATTGTACTTTATTACTTTCTAGGCTTAAAGAATTTTTTTATAAATTTTAAAATTTACAAGTACTGTGATTTAGTTTTACTAATTCCCATATTTGGCATTTTGTTTGGTTTTTAATTCCCCCATATAATTTATTTTCAGAAATACACAGAAAGAGCCATTTGGTTAATCGTGACAAAACATTTTAATTTCCCCAGAAACAAGCAAATCTTATTGACAATACCCACTATTCCAGAAGTTATTTTAATTTTTTTCGCAGAAACACATATTTTCACTTTTTTTTTTTTTTTGGGGGGGGGGGGGGGGGAAAGCACAGTAATACTTACCTGCATAGACTTTCCACTGTCAAAGCATTTAAAACTATAGCAAGAACATGGTTTAAATTTCTGTATTTTAATTCTGTTAAAATATCTAATTTTTCAAGGCCCATTTTCTTGCCAATAAGTCCAGCAAGAACATGTTCTAATGTAAATATTTCTGTTCCATCAATATTCTCCAATATTTGATTTTGGTCTGATCTTTGTCTTTGCAAGCAAATTTCATGAACTACTCTCAGAGCTGGAGTTCTTGAGAGATCTTCGTGACTTACAACTAGGTCTCCACTAGACTGTTCTTCTGAAACTAATGCACAGTCTTCACTGACAAAGTTTCTTTCTTCTGTTAACATACATGCAGAATGAGAAGGACTGCCATGATGATCTTCTGTCTCTGACTGTGAGCCTTGTTCCCGAAGAGTGGATAACCTTCTAACTCGTTCAAGTTTTCTTGTCTTTCTTTTACTATCCAGAATTTTGGAACCTTCTTTGCGTTTTTGGAAGAACTGTTGAAAAGATCCATCATGATCAGAAAATGAGTCTCCCGATTTGTCCAAATGAAGTGAATTATATCCACTATCCTCAGGTGTTGAAAGATCTGGGTAACTTGCCAGCTTAACAGGGGGAGAATTTATATCACATATTTCAAAGTTAAAGTTCTCTACAAGACTGTTGATAGAAGTCAGGAACTTACCCTCATTGGCCTCAGGTAGTACACTGTAAGTAGGAGTTCTAAGCAACCCATCACTAACACTCATAAGGACACTTTTACTGAATTCGTTAGTGTTACTAACAATAACATCCTTACACTGAATTGGAGATAAACATTCTGGTTCTAGTAATAAGGGGTCCTTACATTTGGACTCATCTAGCGTAGAAGTCCTTTGTTGTGAAAAGGAGAGTCTCCGCTTTGGACAATCGGGATTAGCCTCCTCTGTTTTTGAACTGCTAGTTGTCAGATTTTTATCTTTTGGAGAATCTGAAGCAGTTTGTGAAAGTTGTTCTTCGGAGCTCAAAACACAAGAGAATATACTTTTCCTGCTGCTTCCTGAGGAACTGGCTTGTCTTTCATAGCATCCCACAGTTGCACCCGCTGGAACAGTCTTAGATAAAAGCAGCCTCTTGCGTAGTGAGGGGCCTTTTCTACCCACTTTAGGAGTTTCAAAAAAATCTGCACTTCTATTTCCTTCTCTTCTTTCTGATAAGGAGATAGAATTCATTTCATTTTCAATAGATGACACAGGAAAGAGGGCATTTGGATGAATCTGCTCAGAACGCTCTTGTAGCAATGATAAACTTGTTACACTCAGTGCTTCTTTATGTTCTACATCAGGGTCTTTTACTGACTCATTGCTTCTGCTGTCCAGAAATACTGAAGTGCAACATGTGTCTTTAAAACTGGCATATTTAAAATTGCTTCTGGGAGATGTTAGTCTATTTCTTTTAGTGATATTGAACATCACTGACTGACTGTCCGACATCTTCTGCTTGGCACTTTGACTTTGTAAATGAAGATACCAGTGTTATTTCTGAAACAAATGATAAAAGTAGTCATCAAAGTCAGACCCTCAAGTCAGTGAGAAAGCCTTGAGTAAGTCTATCAAGCTAGCAGACATAATGAAAGTATTTTCATTAGTCTTAATAGAAACAATGCTCACACATGAACACAAAGATAAATTACAATCAAGTAGATGGTTACAATAAGTGATTAAAATGTGTAGTATACCATGAGGCAAATTAAAACATATATCCAATTAGCTAATTGCCAATCCTCATCCAAGGAAAAACACTTTAAGTAAGTGACACAGCAAGTAGAGTCTCATTTGTGCTGAAATCAGTGACAAAACTCCCTCTCTTTCCAATAGGACTAAGATTTGTAATAGCACTGTGTTATTGGTTCATCCGACTACTAGCAGTTCGGTCCTCAAGAACTAGCAGAAGCTCGGCAATAGATGAGTTCAGACAAAAGGCATCTTCTCCTTAAGAAGAATGAGAGGACTAATCATGAAGTCACAAAGTCTACAGTTGTCCCTATTATTTAGATACCTACAGTCCCTGGAGGGAATAAAATTTGACCTCTGGTTACAAAGCAAACAGTGCATTCTTATCTGCCTCAACATTTAAGTGTTATTTTGTAAAGAAACTCTGCTTTTGCTCAGCTCTGAGTAAACAGAGCATTCTGAAGCTTTACACTTTAACAAAACTGACGAACCGACTATACATCCTCTCACCACGCACATCAAAAATGTCTTTTAAACTTAATAAGTCTAAGAGCTTTCAAGAGTTACTATAGATTTTCCTAGAAAAGTTACAAGTGGCTGATACACCCATTTAAATAAGAGATGTAAGAATACAGACTTTTTTTGCATTCACACATGGCAGAGTTTCTCCACCCTAACAAGACACCGTAATTGTATAAAAGATGTTATTCATAAACACCCATATGAGGGCTGTTCTCACAGAAACCATAGGAGTTCACATCAACATTGCGAGACTTTCAAAGTCTGAATCAGCACCTTTTACTGGGATATGTTACTAGCCTCTAGAACTGGTATTTTGGAACATAAGCCTGGAAATAGTCATTGAAGTTTCAGAACAAACAAAAATAGGAATCTTTAATGGTGGCTTAAACACCAAATATTAAGACACTGCTAATATCCCAACAGTCCTGTCTTAGTCAAGCCCTAAGCCACCAAATACGAGCAGTGGGAATCAAAATTGCCTGGGGCTGGGGGGGAACTATTCTTTGATGATCTTGGGTCATTTAACTAGCATTTTTTTTGACCCATACCGAAGGCACTTTATAAGACCATTGCAATATGGAGATGTCTTTGTTTTATTTTCTACTGTGAGGAGACTGCAATATACACAAGTTCAAAAGGAACAGGATATTAAAGAGCAGACTGTGAGAACTTGGCATAAAAGTCTGTAGAATCATGCTAATATCAGCATGAAATCAAACTGATTTAAAACTACCAAAAAAATCCATCCACATAATTGAGAAAACTTCTCCCAGGAATGAAAGGTATGTGAAAATAATTCCAAGATGATGACAAACTCTCAAGTCTGGCCTGCTTCCTTTCCCTCTCGCATTTACTTCTACAAGTACCTTACCTCCACATTAGTTTTCCCTCACTGCCTTTTCCTCATTCCCTGTTTTTACCTGGTAAAATAAATGACAGAGCAAATAGGAAACATGAGGACATAGCTTTAAGCCAGTTATTACATGAATTAGGGATAACTTCCTTGACTGTTCAGGGCCAACTCCAAGCAATATCTTGTGTTTCATCTGATCACATTTCAGCATTTTGGGCAATAGGCTGGAAGTGCTGTGTCATGAACTAGAAGATAACTTTTAAAAGGTAGGAAATGGGTATAAAGAGGCTCTGTGTGCACACTCACTGCTGTTCTTCAGTTGATTATTCACACTATGAGAAAGGACCACATCCACATAGCTCTTCTTTTTGCAAAAGGTGGAAGACCTACAGGAGACCTATAGTAACAATAGGGCATTATCTCTGTGTAACCTACAAAAAGAATAGAGGTTTCATTTTCTATGCTGAATTTTGGTGAACTGCAGGTAGTCAGCAAACATTGCCAGGAAATGTTCCTACCAAAGATGCTGATGGGCAGAGATTTAAATTTTGAATGCTATTTAGAGACAGCTATTCAAAATCTCAATCCCACCCCCCAAAAAAATCACATACCCACACTTACCTTTAAAAATATTAATATTTTCCTTAAACACAGACAAACTAACCACACACTTTAAAAAAAGTGTGCAGGCTGCCAGGTTTAGAAACTTAAAGTTCAGGCAGCATTCTGAAGGAAACAACAAAAGGAAAACTCACTCTTGCAGTTTCCATTCTCAGACATTCCATGGGAGAAATTATCTAATCTTAAGAACCAAGAGTAGAGGAAATTTAAAATATTACAAGATAAAAGTTTCAAGTAACATAAAAATCACAGGAAAGACAACTTTTCGCAGCTGTAGGGGAGATCAGAATAGCAGAGTTAAAGGAATGTTGAGAACTTAAGAATTAACTTAAGCCAAAAATATGCTGTAAATACACCAGTGTCCAGCAGGAGGAGCCTGTGAGCTTACTATATTGATTTGAGAAGAACTTTGAAAAAATTTCAGGGAAGGCACTGCAATACAGGCAGTGAGCGAAAAACGTCCATAGTACTTCTTTACAGTGAATCCCAGTATACACTTGTTTTGTATAGACATTAATTTTTTTCAAAACGTATTACTTGTACAAGTTAAGATTCAATTTAACACAAGGTCTCATTGTGCAAATACAGTACAGAAGGGAAAGACTTTCAGAGGTGCCAAACACCTCTCATAATAGAACAAGGTGCTATGTATATTCATAAAAGGTGCTTAATAAAGCCTCTTATAACTTGCCTAGTGTTTTATAAGCACTTGCTTTTTTTATCAGGAGAAAAGTTTCGTCTACTAGATTTGATACATAACATCAAGCCCTTTTCATTTGGGGATCTTGAAGTAATTTCTGGAAGTGCTGTTAGCTTTGTTTTAGACATCATAAAACAGATGTGCAGGGAAGAGAAGACTGGTCACACAGCATGTCAGTTACAGAGGAAGGAATAAAAACCTTATCTGCTAAGTGTAGATTCTTGTATGTATTATGAATTTTGTAGCCCTCAGATTGATCTGCAAGTGAACTGCAAACTTCCTGGCAGTTTATGGAACAAAATATTCAGAGACTCAAACTAAATTAAGAACAGGATTCAGAGATTTAGACAAGGAATAATTTCTGGTAAGCTTAGTCTTACAAGGTGTCCTAAAGAGAGAAAAAGATAGGTTACTAGAAGGCCAAGTAAATGGTGCCTGTAACTTAGATGTGAGCTCTACAATGGAGTCACGCCTGTTCCTGATACTAGTTTACACTCCCCAGTAACACACACTGAACATTTATGCCTCAAACAAGATGTTTTCTGTCCTTGTTTGGCACCATTCACCATTGTTAACAAAACAGATAAAGGCAAAGTTTTGGTGATTAATTGTATTTTCTGTTATTTAAACAGACATATCCGCAGTAGAACTGAGAACTGACTTTATCGGAAGACTCTGTGGAGTCTAAAAACAGAGAAGTCATTAATACCTTCAAAGGTATTAGTATTGAAAATGGCATAGCTAAAGCCTATCTGTAAGATGTGGGTCACTTACCCTAATTTGTGAAGCAACTCGAGATCTTCCAAAGCAAAGGTGCTGTATTCAAAGTGTTGTTTACCCCTACCGATAACTTAAAGTGAGAAAGGTTGTGGAGAGAAAAGAGAGAGGCAAGAGAAACGTTACCCAGCTGAGACACAGTTTTCAGTTGGTCTACATATGCGTTCACTGCAACGTCCAATTACCCAGCGACAAAGATTATTGACGGCTACCTAGGGACCAGCACCCCAGGGACTCTCAGTCACCTGGGATGCGGGACACGAGCAAAGCAACAGCTTCACCCCCTCATCCGGCAAATGGCTGGGCACAGCCTAGAGGCCCCCCACCACCCAGCGCAGCTGAGGCGGTCGGCGGAGCTCCCTTGAGAAGGGGTGAAGGCGAGGAACCCCCCCTCCCCAGCTGGCTGAAGAGAACGGGAACGCTGTCGCCTCAGCAGCTCGCCGCCTGGCTCTGGGGCCC